TAGGATCCATGTATCGTCCGGCTCCGGCCCGGGGTTGGCAACGGCCGTCTCCCTTGTTGTGCATTCAGTGACGAAGTCGGCCAAGGCTTGCCCTTTGATAGATGGCCTTGGCTTGATCTCAATTTGAAATTGACTGAGGAAGATTGCCCACTTCACCATCCTTGAGGAGCTGGTGGGGCTCCTCATGAGTGCGCTGAGGGGCTGCTGGGTTAGCACATGGACGGCATGGGCCTGGAAGTAGTGTCCCAGCTTTTTCACCGTATGGACGATGGCCAGCACCGTCTTCTCAATGGGGGAGTACCTGAGCTCGGCCTCCCTGAGTGTCTTGCTGATGTAGAAGATGGCCTTTTTCACCCCTTCGTCCTCACGGATGACACGGAGCTGATGGCCGACGTGCTCACCCCTAAGTACAAGAAGAGGGTTTCGCCGGCTTTGGGCTTGGAAAGCACGGGCGGGGACGATAGGTACCTCTTCAACTCTTCGAACGCTTCCTGGCACTCCGTCGTCCACTTGAAGCTGTTGGCTTTACGCATGATCTGAAAGAAGGGGAGTGCCCTCTCGGCTGACCTGGAGAGGAAACGGTTCAGGGCCGCCAGGCGCCCCGTCAGTCGCTGTACTTCCTTGACGTTGCGGGGCGGCTCCATGTTGATGATAGCCTGTGTCTTCTCCGGGTTTATCTCAATGCCTCTCCGGCTGACCATGTAGCCGAGGAACTTGCCGCCCTGGACGCCGAAGGCGCACTTCTTGGGGTTGAGGCGGAGCCTGAACTCCTTCATGATTTCAAAGATTTCCCGGAGGTCGTCGGCGTGGGAGGAGGCCTGCCTGCTCTTGACGATCATATCGTCGACGTATGCCTCCATCGTCCGGCCAAGGACCGTCCTGAAGATCTTGGCCACCATCCTAGTATAGGTGGCGCCAGAGTTTTTGAGTCCGAAGGCCATGACGAGGTAGCAAAAGATTCCCTCTGGGGTCATGAATGCCGTCTTCTCAACGTCATCTTCATGCATGGAGATTTGGTGGTACCCTCTGAAAGAGTCAAGGAACGACATCAACTCGCACCCCGCCGTCTCGTCCACCAGCTGATCAATGTTGGGGAGAGGGAACGGGTCCATGGGGCACGCCTTGTTCAGGTCAGTGTAATCAACACACATTCTGAATGTTGGCGGTTTCTGAGCGAGGACGACGTTGGCCAACCACGTCGGGTACTTCACCTCTTTAATGTGTTTGATTGAGAGGAGCATGGCGACCTCCCCTTTGACGAAGTCCCGCCCGTCGGCGGACAAGTAGCGCCGCTTCTGCTTGACGGGCGTGGAGGTCGGATCGACGGTCAGCCGGTGAGTAATCACCTGGTGGCTGATGCCTGGCATGTCGTCCGGGCCCCACGCGAAGACAACGGCGTATGACCGCAGGACGAGGAGGATGGTGTCTCGTTGGTCCTGAGGGAGCTGCTTCCCGATTCTGAGGACCCGCTCTGGCCGGGAGGTATTCAGAGGGACTTCCTCGACCTCCTCGGCCGGTTCGGCATGCGGCCTCTCCTCGTCCTTGGCAACGGCTGCCGTGATGGTGTCTATCCTCTGTCCTTCCCTTTCGGCCGGCCTTGTTAGCTTGAGGTAGCATGCTCTGGCTATCCTCTGGTTTCCTCTGGCGTAGCCGATGCCGTCATTGGTGGGGAACTTTAGGCACAAGTGCTTCATGGAGATGATGGCCTCCAAGTCCTCCAGCGCTGGCCGTCCCAAGATCAGGTTGTGGGCGCACTGGAGGTTGACCACCATGAACTCCATGTCAATCCTGGCGCGGTGGGGGCCGTCACCGACCTCCACGGGGAGGACTATCGTGCCCTCGGCGTCGATAGAGTCCCCGGTGAAGCCGAATAACGCTGTCTTGATCGACTTTAGCAGAGCTCTGTCCAGCTTCAGCTGTCGGAAGGTATCCAGGTACATCACGTTGACGGAGCTCCCCGTATCGATGTAATTGCGGTGGATGATGGAGTCACCGATCTCACACCGGATGACGAGGGCGTCCCTGTGTGATTCCATCCCCGGAGGCAAGTCCTTGTCGGTGAAGGTGATCGCCTCCGTTCGCTGCTTCTTCGGCTGGGGGGGAACATGGGACACCTCCCTAATGTAGAGGGATTGGGCCCATTTCTTTCTCTGAGTGGCGGAGTCCCCCCCAGTGTTCCCACCTACGATGAGGTGAATGTGATTCTTCTTTGGCGGGGGCTCTTCGAAGTCCTCGTCGTCGCTGAGCCTACCAATTTCCCGCTTCTTCGCAGAGGGTTCGCCCCCATGTTTGCCGGTGTTTACCCATGTGTTTTTGCGTGGGCCACCTTTAACAAACTGGGAGAGTTCCCCCTGGCGAATAAGACGTTCGATGGCCTTCTTCAGCGTGATGCAATCGTCGGTGTTGTGCGACGAGTTCTTGTGGAACCGGCAGTATGTGCCGCCCTGCTGGATGGCAAGGACCTCCTCGGCCGGCCGAGGAGCCTGCTCGATGAGGCCATGCTTCTCGGCATAGTCGAGGATGATGCCGACCGGGTGAGTGAGGGCAACCCCCGGCCGCTCCAACCTCGGCCGCCAGTGGCGATCTTTCTTACTCTGTCCACCAGAGCCGTGACGGTCCTGGGCACCCTGGCCGGCCGGGGACGGACCCGGGGCCGGCGAAGGATTTGTCTTCTTGGAGGGAGGGCCCCCCTCTTTCTTGTGATTGTGGAGCTCGTCGGCGTCGGCGTACAAGCCTCCGCGCTGGAGCGCCTTGGCGTACGACCTCGGAGGGTCGGTGATGAGGCTCCTAGCGTACGGGGAGCTGCGGAGGGCTCCCTGATACAAGGCGAGGAGGGTGCGCTCATCGGCCCCCTCGACTTCTTCGGTCTCCCTCGTCCACCGATCAATGAATGACCGGAGGGACTCATCGTGCTGCTGCTTGACGGAGAGGAGGTGGGTGAAATACTTCTTCGCCCGCTTCCTCCCGGCGAAGTGGGTGAGGAAGCGTTGGGCAAGATCCTGCCATGAGTCGATGCTCCCTTCGGGGAGCGCGTTGAACCACTCGTACGCGGGCCCCTCGAGAGTAAAGAGGAACCAACGACAAAGGTATTCGTCTGACGCGTTCACCATCAGCATGTTGTTCTGATAACGGCTGAAGTGTTCCTGGGGGTCTGATCGGCCGTCGTAGGACTTGATGGCGTTTCCCCTGTACTTCTCCGGGATGGGGGCCGAGAGGACCCTGTTGGTGAAAGGGGTCCTGGTCCTGACCTGGATGATGGGGTCACCTCGCCCCTCGGCCAGCTCCCTCTCCAGGGCGCTAACCTTGTTCATTAGCGCGTTGAGGCCGGGGTCATTGGAGGCGCCGGCGGTAGGGATGTTGGCCGACTGCTTGGCCTCCATCTGAGCCAGCCTCCTTTCCAGCTGGGCGATGACCTCGTCCCGGGGGTCCCTGGTGGCCGCAGCGGCGCCCGGCTGGTTCCTCATGCGCTCGTTGTGAGCCGCATTGATCTGGTGGCGCACGTCGTCCTCATGCAACTTCCCCTTGCCCTTGTCCGGGCGGGGCTGGTCCGCTGTCCGGGACACAGACCCCAAGCTTTCCCTCGGCGAGCCAGGCCGAGGCTCACCAATCCGTCCTGCCATCCTCTCCGAAACCGGACGACGGCGCGTGTCACCTAGCCTGTTGAAGGCAGAGGCTTTTCCACGCGCTGGGGTCTGCCCAGGCCGAAGAGGGGAAGCAGGGTGGGAGTGGGACGACGCCGTGTCCTGGGCCATCACCCCCTCATCGTTGCATGTCTGGACGGCCAACGGTTGGGGCTGAGGAGGTGGAGTGACGTTCCCCCCGGTCCTTGGCAAGAGTGCGCTGAGGACGGTGGGGTTCTGAGCCAGGCTGGCAATGATGACTGACAGCGCGGCCTGGACCTGTGGACCCACGGACGGAGAGGCCGCGGCCATAGGCTGGGCCGGGGCGTGGTCCGTCTTCTCAGCTCGTTTCTTGTCCAAGCCGATGCGGACGTCAGGGGCTCCGCCGTTGAGTTGGTTGCGGAGGTCCGTCGTGAGGTTGAAGGCCTCCTGGAAGACGTCCCCCCCGCCGACCTGGTCGGCCGTGGCGTCCTCATCGTGCTCCCTGGCCTCTTGGTCCTCAGGGATGACCTTGCTGACGAGGTTGCGGTTTGATTTAGTTCTTCCCATGATCAGTGGTTAGCTGTGTTTGGTAGCGACGAAGGGTGCTAACTTGATTGTTCTAGCTCTCAACGAGAGCACCAAATGATAGAGTATATCTAGAGAGAAGTGAGAGCTAGAGAGAGAAGTGCAATAATATGCTTCAATAGAATGAATTTGTCACCCCTATAACTACTCCCAAGGGGAGTATTTATAGAGAAAATACGGGCTGGGCTCATTTACAACTGGACCGCTACTGGGCCGAATATAAAGCCACTAATGGGCTGTACAAATGAGCAAGTGTAGAATCCGGTTCTGTGAGGTCTTCGTGGCCGACGAGGGCACGGCCGACGAGGGCGCGGCCGACGAGGGCACCCGGGTCCCTTGGGCTCAGGACCATATTCTGAGTTGGCACCCTTTCGGCCGACGGGGGTCCCATGACCGACGAGGGCACCACTCAGTGTCTCGGGCTTTCTGTTCTTCTGAGTATGTGTGTCCTGGGGCTCAGATCCATATACTCCATCAATATATATATATATATATATATATATATATATATATATATATATATATATATATATATATATATATATATATTTCGAAAATTATTTTTCTTCGATCATGCAATTTTTACTTTATTATTATTTGTGCTGGTCAAATTTGATAAAATTTTAAAAATAGTCTAACAAACATTTGAAGTCTAACAAACTCTTGTGATGTAATCCAAAAGTAATAATTACGGAGTAATTAATACTCAAATTTCAAATGTTTAAGTTATTTTTACTCGGTTACTCTGCTTAATTGAAAATCCGTTATCTTTCCATCCCGCTTCCTAACTGCATAAAGCATCCCTAAAATTAGGCTTACAGAAGCTCTTAGCTCACTCTCACATTTTGAGGTTTTCGCCCCATCATCTTATCTCACTCTCCTCCCATTTCTTACGTTAAAAACGACGACCGCTGTAATCCTCCTCCCTCAGGCTAACAGAAGAGCTACCTGATATCTGTTCGGCTGGGCTTCATTCTGCACTCGCTATCCCCAACGCCCTTCCATGCCAGATCCGTCCGCATAACCACTCAAATCCTTGGTTCTGTTGCGTACAGGTCTAACTCAGAGAAGAGAAAAGTAATGGTATTCTCTTATTTTTCATATATGACCTCGTGTACATTCTTTTTCTCCATTTCTAGTTCAGGGTTTATAATTGAAATCGAAGTGGATTTTTTTACTTATTGTAGGATCTCACTTCCCATGTATATTGTAGGATCTCACTTCCCAAGTATAATTGAATTACTAAGATTAAATCAAGTGTTATAGTGAAGAAAGTAGAAGAAGAGTCTTGGCGCACCACTTAATTACTAAGAATAAATCAAGTGTTATAGTGAAGAAGTAGAAGAAGAACCTTGGCGCACCTGTTAAGGTGTTGCTGTGTGACCCAGAGGTTACGGGTTCAAGTTTTGGTAGTGCCTCTTGTCAAAATATGACAGGGGAAGACTTACCCCGTATACACCTTTTGTGGTGAGACCCTTCCCCGGACCTTCGCCTTGTGGGATGCCTTCGTGCACCGCGCTACCTTTTATAGTGAAGAAGTAACTCTATGTTACCCTTAACAAGTTAATATGGAACTTAAGGGGTACTTGGAAAGGAAAAAATGACCTATATAACACTCCTAAAAACAAATTGGTTTCCCACGCATACTATGTTTTGTCTTAAATAAGTTATACTGAAAAGTCTGAAATCATGCTCTGTTGTCATATTATGACATTATGACTATCATGTTAGTGTTTAATGTTTGTTAATGTCATATTATAACGGTATGATTTTCAGGCGGCAACACTTACTCTTATTTAGTGGAAAAAATACAATACTCCTATTTTCAAAAAATACTTTATTTTTATTAAACAAAATTCCCTTGGGATTTTACATCATTTCCAATGGAGCCAAGACTCGCTATGTTTTGGTTTGAGAGTATGAAGGAATAAAACAAAATGGCTCACGAAACTGTATTCACTTCTTTGTTATGAAGCAATAGTCATCCGACCCCCCTTTACTCCACCGTTGGTGGGAGTCTTTGTGGCACCGGAGTAATGTTGTTGTTGTACAAATTTCTCTAGGGATGAAATCCTTGGAAGTGGTGTCATTTGTAGAGAGGGATTTTTTAGTTTATTGATTTGGATCTTGATGGATGTAGTAGAGAGGAATTGTTTTGTAAATTGATTTTGATCTTGATGGATGTTAGGGTATAGAAACTTAAGGTGTTTTTACTTGAATTGATTTCAGTCTCAGATCATACTTGATTAGACTTAGACAGACTAGACCACACCAAACTAGACAAACCAGACCGCAACAAACTTAAACAAATCAGACCGCATCAGACTTAAACAAACCAAGCTAGACGAGATCAAACATGACTAGACTTGGGCAATACAAAAATACAAAGAATACCAAACCTTATCATATTAGACCAAATTTAAACATACCAGAACAGCTCAAACTTGATCAGACTGGACTAGTTCATACTAGACTGACAAAAGAATTTCATTCAAAGTGAAAACACCCTTACACCAAGCCATACCGTATTTCATCGCGTCCATAACTTTGAGGGTTTTTGAATGGGTCCCCATGAAATTTGTTCTAAAGTTGCATACCTATTATAAACAGTTTCTTCTTTTTTGAATTATGTATCTCACAAGATTAGTGTTTAAGTAGTCTGTTAACTAATAGGGTAAACACAGTTGTATGCCTTTATTTTATGCTTTTTCTTTTCATTACCATACAAAATTGATAACAATAGATCACACCAGTTTTAGATCAATTTGATGTTGGAACTTAGAAGTTTTTATATGGCTATGTGGGGAAACTGATACAAATAAACTCACAAAACGTAAACTGAAGTGTTTATTACTTACTACCTCAAACCTCAAGAGCTTAACATTTTGTTGGATGACTTGGATCAAATTTTTCTACTTTTCCTAATTTACTTATGCTATAGACAGCTACATTGCACAAGTTGATTAAACTGCATTTGTCATGTCATGTTATAAGTTATAATGCATTATATATGACATTTTCGGCATTTCCATGCTCTCATAGTCTCATGTGTTACCCAACAAAATTAATTTACTCTGGGTACAAAGAAAAAACAATGGCTATCTCAATTTTGAAGCAAATATAGGTAATTAAATATTGCTATGAGCAGGCGAAGGATATCTAGTTATGAAATCTTGGCCTATGTATAAAAAGCTGAAAATCATTTGCAGAAATAGAAATTGTGCAGTTATCTTTCCATTCAAGCAAAATAAATTGCAAATTGTCAGAGAACTTATTTGATCATTCCCAACATTGTTTCCAGATCTCATCATTTAATTTTGGTTAACAAAGCCTCGACTACAGAATAAAAAAGTATTTTGTTAATTGGGAGAGGGGAGTTATTTTTACACTTGATGCTCATGCTGAGGGCCGGTGAGGGGGCATATGCAATAAAGAAGTTGTACTATATGATCATGAGGGTGAATAGTAATCCAAATTTCCCTGGAAGACATCTTGCAGACCTTTAGTTACATAATAAATTGTGATGAATCTGTTCTAAATTTGTTACCCGGTGGTCAGTGCAACCTGCAAACTGCTCAAAATGATAAGTGTGTTTGCAAATAGATTCTATGTTTGCAAAAGGCCATAAGTTGAAGACTAAAAGGAGCCCCGTTTGTCATTAGTGTTTGCTGATAAACTGGTTCTAGAAAAGACTTACATGACATACACTTATATATATGGCAGTTTTTTAGTTCCTATTCTGATGGCGTTGTGTGATATGCACACACTTATATGTCAGTTTCTTAGTTCCTAGCTCTGCCTTTTCCTATATTATATTATCTCTATCAAAGTTAGTGAAAAACTCTAGCTTGACAGGCTCCAGAGTAGCCTTCTTCTGATGAACTAGGTAAACAGATTCTTATGCTTTCTCTGGGTTATATTTTCTTCCGTCCAAAGCAGGTTAAGCGTGTAGCAGTTCCTGCTTGAAATCCGAATGTTCTAAATGACAGTCTAACACAACAACCCTTCTTTGCTATCAAGTTACTGGAATCTCCTTGAATTTTCTTAGTTCCATACTTGCACCATATTGCACATTATCTCAGTGTATATTTAATTCGAATTTGTGCAGCAGCTCTTGCAATCACCCGATACTACCAATTGGGAAGATGTCGGTAAGAATGAAAAAGGTGAAAACATGAATCCACTTAATGCTCAAGTAGACTCCATTGCTGTATTAAGAAGCGAATCCCCTGTTCATCAACAAGGCGGTGGCAAAACAGGAAAAATAAAGCGCCCTGCTCCACTAAAGATAAAACACGTGCGAAAGTGGAGTCGAGACGATGTTGATTCTCCCTTACGGGGGGCTGAGAATGGTGGAAGGAGAAGTCCCTTTGAGTCACCCCTTCATCGTAATGCTGGCGATAGTACTCCAAGGAGAGCTTCTCGTCACGGAGACCGAAGTCTTGAGTTTTCACCACTGCACCATGCAAGGATTGTAGGTGGTGGTGGTAGAGGGGGTGCAGGGGTTTCTTCTCCCACATGGGAAAGAAAAGGTTCATCCGAAGGTGGCCGTCCTATAGCTCCCTCGACACCTTCTAGATCTCGTCTTAGACCAGTCTCAAAAGGTGATGACACGGTAATGTCCTTTCCCCTCCCCTACCCTCTACCTCTAGTGCATTGTCGATTAGGAATTGTTAAATGTCTTATGTTGGATGTTAACTAGATCCATATGATCATATCTAATACTTCCTCCATTTTTAATAGCTGCAACATTTTGGCTTTTACACTATTCGTAGTACTCACTTTGACTACATGTTATATATTAAAGTTCTATTTAGTAAGAAATTACTCATCCGTCATGTTTTAAGGTTCTCACTTTTCTTTTTGGACGTCCCATATCAAGGTTCTCATTTCCATGTTAGGAAATATAAATCTCATAAATGACAACTTTGGTCTTCTTATAAGATTCCTACTTTTCCAATTCTTGAGAGTAACCCAAGCTTTCCAAGCTACTTCAACTAACAGGCTATTTTGGAGTGAACCTGTTTTAGCAAATAAATAATTTCTAAATGAAAATTTTAATATGTGGTTGAAAGGTGAGATTGTTCTCACGAAAATGAAAGGTGAGACGGTTATAACTTATAAGCAGACTGGAAAAGACTGGATTATTAGAATCAGTTTTTTAAAAGTAACTCTATATAATGCGAAAAACAGTGGCTATGTTGTATGCCGGATCCCGATTACATGATGTGCTATTTTTCGATGCAGCCAGATCACAACCTTGCAATTCCGAAATTCGGAGATTGGGATGACATGGATCCATCATCAGCAGAACAGTTTAGCCAAGTGTTTGACAGAGTGCGGGACGAGAAGCAGAGTGAGGCAGGGAAAGTGCCTGTCATGCCAACTGAAACACCCGACCCAAACAATGAGAAGCAATTCAGAAATGAGAGTTCTAAGGTACAGCTTTGCTGGATTTTCAAAGTAGAGGAGCATCTGGTTTTTTCCATAGTTTTCTATCTCTCTCTTCTTTATCACATTTATCTGTTCTTCCAGGGCTGTTCTTGCTTTCCATGGCTTGGAAAGTAGTGACTAGTCTTCAAATGGGGGAGAGCATACAACTTACTGGAGGCACTTACACAACATGTTTTTTGAAAGCTCGGTTATTTTGTTGTATATGCTTTGTCCAAGATTTAAGTATATCTTTCTTTTTTTGCTTTCAAAAAGACATTTGAAAAAGTTGTTAAAGAAGTAACTGAAAAGATTTTGAATGTCATCGTGGTTTTGCGTCTTCTTGTCAAGTGTCAACCATTTTGACATGGAAGTGTGGTTTCATGTAATTTGTACTGTGTATTACGTAATTTATAAAAGACTCCTTACAAAATCTCTCCCATACACACACATACTCAAATGAGATCACATAATCTTCCCTAATATTTATGAGACATTTACCTAAGTAGGATCAAAACAATGTCATTTTCCCAAAGCAGGACTAAATGTTTAAAATTCCATATCTAAGACATTTTATTTGTGATTGGAATGAAAATCCCCTCATAGGGTTGGAGTTCTGCTGCTCCCAGGTTGCCGAACTGCCGCCAGTTGTAAAAACTTTTCGTCGATATGCTGCTAAGATGTTGTCATCGGAGTTCCCTACTGCTATCATTGAACTGAACTACCATCAACAGATTGATTAATTATACTATTGATAGAAATGTAATGTTTACTCCAATTTAAAGAAAATATATGGTCTTATTTTTGGTAGATAGCTATATGTATGTTTTAGTCCCACTATTAGAAATTCTCAAAATTTATTAAACTATGGTCCTAGCTAGGCATTGACCGGGCTCGGGCCGGGCCAGTTCAAGCCGGGCTTTTTTTTTCCAGGATGTTGGGCTGAAACTGGCCCGGGTTGATACCAGATCCGGCCAAAACCGGTCCGTGCCGGGCCAGGCCCGGTTCAATGTAATTTTTTTTGGCTTTGTAATTAACCCCCGACCCCCTCCCTCACCCCCACCCCCACCCCCCCCAACCCCCCAAAACACCCAGCCCTACCCAAGGAAAGAAAAAAAAATTGAAAAAACAAAAAAAAATGAACTAGGCTCGGCCCGGACCGCCTGGGCCGGTTCAGGAAAAATAGGGCCAGAGCCAGGCCCGCCCAAACCGTCCAAACCGGGCTAAAGCCCGGAACCACCCATCCCCAACCGGTCCAGTCCGGGTGTGCACAGTCGCGGGCCGGTCCGGTTCCCGGGCCGGTTCGGCCCGGTTGGGTCCATCCCTAATCCTAGCTTATGGTTTTGATTCATACAACAACAACATCAAAGCCTTAGTCTCAAAAGATATTGGGGCATGGTTTTGATTGATAAGACATCATTTTTGTTATCTACGTCTGATCGTATTTAAATTTCAAGTTCTCCATGTTTGCTGTCAATTGAATTCTTTCTTAATCTTGAATTTTGTAAAGAAAGTTTTGTCATGGTGTAGTATCTAAATATATAAATTTTCTTTATTTAAAATACTTTAAATACGAGTATCACATAGTATCAAATATGATTTAAATTAATTATCGATCAATCAGTGTAAATCTTAACCGAAAGTTCTTTAAGAGATGAAAGAAGTTATGGATGGATATGATTAATCACATCTAATGAACTGGATGCTTACAAGAAAACGAGTTCTCAAATGAATCGTTTTCCATACACACGAATGGACGTATGGACTCGAGCCGGTCCGGGCCTGATCGGGCTTTTTTTGGTTTGTTGAGAGCCGGAACCGGCCGGGGTAGCTACCGGGCTAGGTCGGGCCAGGTACCTTATTTTTTTCTAATTACTTCCTACCCCCACCGGCTCACCCCCACACCCCAAACCCCTGCAAAACACCCAGCCCAACCCATTTACCTCCCAAAGAATTTGAAAAAAAATGGTCCGGGCCGATTCATTATTTGAAGACCCGGAGCCCAACCCAAGAAAATCCGGTTCGGGTATAGTGGACCCGACCCAAAACCGGGCCGCGGACTGGGCCAATTCGCAACAGTACCAATTCAGGCCGGTTGCGGGCTGGTCGAGTCCATCCCTACACGAATGCACCCCTTCCCCTCAACTATATATAGGGATGGACCGGGAGTCCGGGCCCGGGCCGAGATTGAGCGGGACCGAGACTAAAAATTTCAGGCCCGGTACCGGCCCGAGCTTGTACCGGAACCGAGCCGGGCCTAAACAGAACTGGTCAGGACTGGCCCGGGACCGATCGGGACTGGCCCGGGATGCCCGGGTCGGGCCTAAAAAACGAGCTCGAAGCTCGCCCTTATAGCCACCGAGCCAAGACCGGGCCGAGCTCCGGGCCTAAAGAGGACCGAGCCGAGACTAAACAGTGTTGGGACCAAACCAGGCCCGGGCCGGGCCAACTCGTCCCAATCCATCCCTAACTATATACGAGATGGCTAATCGTTGATGCTGTTATTATTATCAGGAAAAAAATTCACTAATACTACTCCTTAAAAAATGATGAACAAAAACGTGACTTAAAACTACTACTCCCTCCGTCCCATTGGAAGGTTCCCATAGCAAAACGGCACGGTTATTTAGGCAATAATTAAATAAAGTACTTCGAGTATATTTTGAAAAATAATTTTAATAGGTATATATTATAATGTAGTTAGTATTGATAATTGTGATATAAATGTATTACTTTTAATATTTAATGATTAATTTGTCACTTAAGATTGTTAATTATTTCCTAAAATGGAAATGGGAACCTTCTAACGGAACATCCAAAAAAGGAAAGTGGGAACCTTCTAATGGGACGGAGGGAGTATTAATTAGTAAACAAAGTCACCACGATGCAAACTTTGAACAAGAAGCACGATTATTTAAACGATAATTAAATGAGGTAATTCGAGTACAATTTGAAAAATGGTATTGATGAATATATAAATATAATATAATGGGGACACCGGTGATAATTGTCATGTCACCATTAGAAATAGTTGTACATGAGCTAAAATTAGGGATGGACCAAACCGGTCCGGCCCGGCCCTGAACCGGCCCGGTTAAGGATAGGGAGGTTCGGGCTTTGACCCGACCCAGGGGAGGGGAGCGGTTTAGGCATGGTTCTGGAAATTGGCGGCCCGGGCCGGCCAGTTCGGGCCCGGTTCAGGCCAACGGCTAGATTGTTTTTATAAAAAATCTTTTGGCCATCCAAACAGGCCTTAGAGCCGTTGTGATTGAACCCAAACGGCTATATAGCCGTTGGGAGCCTTCCAGGGGGTCCCGGAGTGGGTTAGGGGGGGGGGGGGGGGGGGGGTACAAAAAATCTATAAATACTCCATTTTTTCTATACAATTTACTACACATCTTCTCCAAATATTCCTAGTCTCTAATCTATATTCTCTACTAATCTTCTCCATCTTCATCTTCTCAAATTTATAACTACATATATTATATTTATTATCTACTTATATTAATATCTAATCATTATATTATTGTTACTTATATTTATTTACTTATATTTACATATTACTGATGGAGTATATGAGTCTAGGCCCCAGGACCCACATACTCAGAAGAACAGAAGGTACCACGATCACCGGGTGACCTCGTCGGCCATGCCCTCATTGGCCATGCTCTCATCGGCCATGCCCTCATCGACCAGAAAAAGGTCTACTCAGAATATGATCCAGAAGCCCGGAGAACCGGGTGCCCTCATCGGCCATGCTCTCATCGGGCATGCCCTCATCGGCCAGAAAGAAGGCCACCCAGAATATGATCCAGAAGTCAGGAGAACCGAGTGACCTCGTCGGCCATGCCCTCATCGGCCATGCCCTCGTCATCCATAGATAGCCTCTAGAACAGGATTTTATACTTATCATTTCTATACACTTCGTATCCGGCCCATTAGTGGCCCTGTTGTAAATGGGCCTCCCAAGCCCAAGACTTGGGAGCCCAGCCCTAATTTTCTCTATAAATACTCCCCTTGGGAGTAGTTGTAAGGGTTCAGAATTCATTAATACAAAGCAAATATACTACTTCTCTCTCTAGCTCTCACTTCTCTCTAGACTTATAGCCTATCATTTGGTGCTCTCGTTGAGAGCTAGAACAATCAAGTTAGTCTCCTTCGTCGCTACCAAGCACAGCTAACTGATAATGGGAAGAACTAAGTCAAACCGTAACCTCCTCGGCAAAGCCATCCCTGAGGCCCAAGAGCATCAGGAACATGAGGAGGACGCAACGGCCGACAAGGCCGCCGAGGGAGACGTCTTCCAGGAAGCCATCGGCCTCACCACTGACCTGCGCACCAAACTTAACGGCGTCGCCCCAGACGCCCGCATCAGCTTGGACAAGAAGCGCGCAGAAAAGGGTGACAACGTCTCTGGGCAACCGGCTTCTCCTGCCGTTGACCCTCAGCTCCAAGCCGCTCTCTCGGCCATCATCGCCAGCCTGGCCCAGAACCCCACCGTCCTCAGCGCACTCATGCCAAGGACTGGGGAGAACACTACACCACCTCCTCAGCCCCAGCCGCTGGCCATCAAGCTGGGCAACGACGAAGGGGTGGTGCCCCAGGACACGTCGTCATCCCACTCCCACCCTGCTTCCCCACTTCGAGCTGGACCAGCCCCAGCGCGTGGAAAAGCCTCAGCCTTTAATAGGCTAGGTGACACGCGTCGTCGGCCTGCTTCGGAGAGGATGGCAGGACGGATTGGTGAACGTGAGCCTGGCTCACCAATGGAAAGCTTGGGTCCGTATCCCGGATAGCGGATCGGCCCCGCCTGTACAAAGGCAAAGGAAAATTGCACGAGGACAATGCGCGTCATCGAATCAACACGACTCAAGAAGCTCGCATGCGCAACCAGCAAGGCGCCACTACGGCCGCCAAGGACCCTCGGGATGAGGTCATCGCCCAGCTGGAAAGGAGACTGGCCCAGATGGAGGCTAGACAATCGGCCACCATCCCTATGGCCAACTCATCCGAGGGTCCAGGTTACCACGCGCTCATGCTTAAGGTTAGCGCCCTGGAGAGGGAGCTGGCCGACAGACGTGGTGACCCCATCATCCAAATCAGAACAAAAACTCCCTTCACCACGAGGGTGCTCTCGGCCCCAATACCCGAGAAGCACCGAGGGAACGCCATCAAGCCCTATGACGGCCGCTCTGACCCTCAGGAGCACTTCAGCCGCTATCAAAACAACATGCTGATGGTGAACGCATCAGATGAATACCTCTGCCGTTGGTTCCTTTCCACTCTTGAAGGGCCAGCGTACGAGTGGTTCAACGCGCTCCCCGTAGGAAGCATAGATTTGTGGCAGGATCTTGCCCAACGCTTCCTCACCCACTTCGCCAGAAGGAAGCGCGTAAGAAAACATTTCTCCCACCTTCTCTCCATCAAGCACC